TAAAACAATAAGATTATTCGCTCTCGAATTTTTATGTGTCGCAGTTGACTAGGGCTGTGCCCGCGTAAACTATCACGCCATAAGAATGCCGAGCTCTTAATATAATTGTTAATTATATTAGGAATAAAAGGTTGAAATAAAGCTGTATTGATCTTTTATGTAGGAAGCGGAAAATCACTGAAGCTATGCCCTCCAATGCGGAAATGTCAATCTCTATTCTAGAAGCGCCAGATAATTAACAATTGTTGGACGATTTTGAGCAAAATACCGTGATTTGTCAGCAGGAGCAGATCAATTCTTTGCCGAAGCCGAACGCTGAGGCAAATAATTGATCCGCGAGACACCGAAAAATTACAATATTTTGCTATAACAAAGTTCGAAAATTGTTTTATCACTGTGATCAATAAGTTTGTTTTCATATTTAAATCACTCTCTGACAAATGTAAATGTAAATTTTTCTTTATAGTGGCCATGTACTTAGCTATACAAGCACTAAGCTTAGCTAGTTTACAGGCATGCCACTTACACAAAGGAAACAAATATTTCAAATACACGTAACATCGTTAAAATCCCAACTGGCAGGAGGCGGACCAGTCCGCTATTTGCAAAGCGTGACCGAGGATTTCAACTCGAGACTACCGAGAAACAAATCCCGCCAGTGGCAGGGTGGAGACCTTCAACGCGGGACCTCCAGATTACAACACCAGCGCTCTAAACCACTCGGCCACGCTGCCTCCTCTGACATTCCAGGGATGCGGTCTGCCCAACATGTTTTACACAAGAGCGTGGTTACAATTACGCATGAGCAGAATACTATTTGCAGCACAACACATTAAGACGGTCTACGCACGAGCAGACCATTTTTTGTAGGCAGTTATTTGCTGGTCACGTGGTGGGCTCTCGGCCAATGAAAAGGAAGAAAAAATGCATCAAATGATAATTCTGGATAGTTGTTCACCTGCTGAGCGCGGTTGCAAAGCTGGAGGAATTATTTTGTCATATGTAGAGCGCGGTCGCATAGGTAGGAAATTGTGGAATGTTTGTTGTGGTCAATGCGCTTAGCCACACCTATCTAGTGCTTAGGCATGCTACTTAAACTGAAGGAAACAAAAAAAAAATTAAAATTAGCATGACAGAGTTAAAAAAAAGAAGAACCCAACTTGCGGGAGGCAGACCAGGTGGCTATTTACAAGCATCACCGGGGAGTTGAATTTGGGTCTACCGAGAAATAATTCCAGCTTAGTCGTCAGAGCGGGACTTGAACCCGCAACCTCTGGAGAGAAACCCGGCGCCTTAACCACTCGGCCACAGTACCTCTA